GAACGACCCCGGTTTCAAAAGAAAAAGAAAAAAACAAGGCTGAATTTCCAGTCCCACCGGGGCCTCCTTCCCCCACCGGAACCAGGCCGGTGGTACCGGCCGGTGGAAAACACCGGTTCCCCGCCGGTTGCAAATTGCGCAATTCGTTGGCGGGGGGGTTTCAATTTTTTTTGGGGCCGGGAGGCCTCCATGCAGGTCGTGGAGGCCTCCCAGCCCCAAAAAAAAATCAACCAGGCCCCGTAGGCCCGCCAGATTATTAAAAAACTGGCGGCCTATTTGGGCCGTCAATCTGGTGAGATCTGCGGCCCAGAATGGGCACCCGTTTTTGAACATTCGGGCGGGTAACCACCCGAAGTTCTTGGCGGCGATCCAAACCTTCCCCAGGCACAGCCCCCATCACCCCGCCTCCCGCCTCCAGCTGCTTTCGAGCAGCAGGACCCGTCACTTCGACACTTCGTCGAAAGTGAACAAGGTCGAGACTGCGTCGCCCCCCCCCCACGTCCGCCCCGGCCTCGAAAGGTAAGTCGTCCTTTGTTGTTCTCTGTTTCTTCTTCTTCTTCTTCTTCGTCTTCTACTATCTTCTTCTTCTTCTTCTTCTTCTTCTGGCATAGCCGAAGTCGGAAGTTTGCAAAGGAGAGAGAGAGAGAGAGAGAGAGAGAGAGAGAGAGAGAGAGAGAGCAAAGTAGTGGGCGCGCGCGAAGGGTAGCCGGCGCGTGGGTGATGATATGGACAGTGAATGATGATGATGAAGGAGGATGACATCATGATGATGGTGACGACGACGACGACGAAGGATGACATCATGATGATGGTGACGACGATGACGACGACGATGAAGGATGACATCATGATGATGACGACGACGATGACGACGACGACGACCGCGACGGCGACAACAGCGATAATGATGGCGATAATGATGGTGATGATGATGATGATGATGATGATGATGATGATGATGATGACGATGATGACGACGACGATGATGATGATGATGATGATGATGATGATGATGATGGTGATGGTGATGATGATGATATCGATGACGTTGATGATGATGATGATGATGATGATGATGAGGAGGAGGAGGAGGAGGAGGAGGAGGAGGACACCCCTGAAATGCAGCCCACCCTCATCCCATGAATTTCCACCCCCCCCCAACCAACCCCATGAAAAACAATTTGCATATCAATATTTCTCTGCGGATTCGGGGAGATCTCGACAAGCGCAGTCCAACCCCATCATCAAAAAAAAGTAAAAAAAAAAATGGACCCGGTTTTGGGCCCAACCGGAATTCCGGTTGGACCACCGGGGTTCCAACCGCCCCGGTTTGGTCCGGTCCGGTCCAACCAGCCAGTGGCCGGTGCAGCCCTGAAAAACAAAAAATTCTGGGCGTTTTTTTGGCCCTCCCGGTTTACCCGGGCGGCCGCCCCGGGCCCAACCGGCCAGGCGGCGTCCTCACTCAGGAATTTTCATTTTTTTTTTGGGTTTGTGAAATGCCTTCAAAATTTATAGGCATGTACCTCACATCATAAAGAACTCACAAAAAAAAAAATAATAATAAAAAAAAAAATTTAGGCCCGGAAATAATTTTTGGTGGGGGCCGAACCTCTCCCGGCTCGGACCCCGAACGGGACCCCGAATGCCCGAACATACGGAGGTCGGTTCGGGGGCCTCCGAACATACGGGCTGGTAACCATGTCCCTGCGAATGTAACTTGGCTTGGTTTTCACGGTAAGAAAAGAAATACCGAGGCAATTGGGTTTTGTATAGCAACCACAAAGCAGCCTCTCCACTTCTGAACCACCACCACTTCGACAGAGAAGACACCTTTACTTCTAGAACTGGCAGTTTTAGAATTCTTAGATGTTACCTCTGAGTCTTGGACAAGGCCGAGGTCATCAGCTTCTCACCACGAGGGCAGTAATATTGTCAATAAGACACCTGAGAGAGGAATGGGAGAGTTATCAGCATGCGCTCCGCAGTCCCTGCCTCTTTACCCCCCACCCTAATCAGTGATGGTCAGGGACTAGGATGGGCCCGCCAGTGGGGTGGGCTGGCCAATGCAAAGACTGTGTCCCACTTGGAGTTACAGCAGTGTTTACGACCAACACTCTCCCACACACAAAACACTTACACACACACACACACAAACACACTTACACACACACACACACACACACACACACACACACACACACACAC